GCACCTGGTCCATGGAAGCCTCGATACCCTATCCCAGGGCTCTCAAGGAACATTAGTGGAAGGCGAGGTATGACAAATTGTTAACGGAACATGGAATTAAACGGCAAGCTTATTTATGTGCAAAAAATGTTGAAGCCCCTTTGTGCGGGATGCATGCATTCCAACATTTTTTTTTTTTTACACCAGAAAACACTTATCTCTTATTCCATGTTTCCTGATATTTTCTGCATACCCTTGTATGTCACTGAAACCCTTTCGTTCTTGGAAACAAATCAATCTATCTGTCCTCACCCTAGGTCTTCTCTCACAAAACACCTCCTGTATTCCTAAAACTAGTAACTACTTACTTAAGAATCCTCTCATTCCTGAAGTCTTTTAAATACTCATTGAGATAAAATATATCCAAGTACATAATCTTTAAAAAAAATATTTTATTTATTTATTTAAGGTAGAGTTAGAGAAAGAGAGAGGGAGAGACAGAGAGGGAGATCTTCCATGTAGTTCACTCCCCAGATGGCCACAACTGCCGGAGCTGGGCCGATCCCAAGCCAGGAGCCAGGAGCTTCTTCTGGGTCTCCCACGTGGGTGCAGGGACCCAAGGACTTGGGCCATCCTCTACTGCTTTCCCAGGCCACAGCAGAGAGCTGGCTCGGAAGAGGAGCAGCCGGGTCTCGAACTGGTGCCCACGTGGGATCCCGGGGCCACAGGCAGAGAGATGCAGCCTACTAGGCCAGGGCACTAGTCCCAAGAACGTAATTTCTTTTTAAAAGATTTATTTATTTCAAAGGCAGAGTTACAAGAGGCAGAGTACAAAGAGGTGGGGGGGGGTTCCTTTCACTGGTTCTCTCCCCAGAAGGCCACAGCGAGCTGGGCTGATCTGAAGCCGGGGCATCGCAAGCCGGGGCGCTAGCCCATGTGCCACAGCGCCGGCCCTCTAGAGCACAGTTTAAGGGTGTGTCACAGTGTATGGTCAGCCTTAAGCTACTAAATCCCCTGGGCCAGAAGCAGTGGTGACCAGTCCTGCCCTTTGGGTAGAAAGCCAGGAAGAGTCCAGGAGCCAGCGGCATGCAAAGCTTCATGAGCTGTCAAGGGGAGGCACCGGGCCTGTTTCCAACCTCCCAGAATACATCAGAGCTGCGGGCAAAGCTGGGTGGGGGAGACGGGGGCGAGCGAGGGTGCGTCCCTCACGGTCCCCCATCCTGGGAGGCGGCCTGAGGAGGGCGCTCAGGACACAGGTGCTGCTGGCACGGTCACGTGCCCCTCGTTAGCGCGGTCAGGTTTCCTGCTGTGACTCCAAGCATATCTGCCTTGCCTGGCTCATTCCGATCTGGTAAGAACGTCCTTTGAGATACACTTTCTTACACAGGAGTCAAAACCATGGACTCCAACCCGGAAACACCTTATTTCTTTCAGATTAGAATTACTGTTAAGACCAGAAAGAGGGGCTAGCGGTGTGGCTTGGTAGGCTAAGCCTTGCCTGCGACGCTGGCATCCTATACAGGTGCTGGTTCATGTCCTGGCTGCTCCTCTTCTGATCCAGCTCTCTGCTATGGCCTGGGAAAGCAGCAGAAGACGGCCCAAGTCCCTGGGCCCCTGCACCCATGCGGGAGACCCGGAGAAAGCTCCTGGCTCCTGGCTTTGGGTCTGCCCAGCTCCAGCCGTTGTGGCCATTTGGGGAGTGAACCAGCAGATGGAAGACCCGTCTCTCTCTCTCTCTCTCTCCATCTGTAACTCTACCTCTCAAATAAATCATAAATTTTTTTTAAAAAGAAGAGACTAGAAAAAAGGAGAGGTAAGCAGAAGCTTCTGGAAAGCTATGAGAAAAGAGAGGGAGCTGAAAGCACGGAGGCAGCAGGTGCGGCATCAGAAGCTGGAGGCGCGGGAAGCCCGGGGCCATGTGCCAACGTGGGCCAGGGAGCCCTGTGAGTCCCGAAGCCAAGAGCAATCCGGCGCGCCTTTCCACGTGTGGTGTGTCCGTGGCACCGCGGGTCTGACGGTGCCGGTCAACCAGACACAGAGGGCAGGGTCACCTGCCTCAGCCACAGCGCACGCACGGCCGTCTCCCCGGGCTACGGGTGACAGAGACCTCTGCCTGCTGCCAGAAGTGACAATTAAGCTTCCGGTAAAGAACTCTTCCGGCGGGAGAGCCCGAGCACAAAGGCCTGGGTTCTCGGGCAGAGGGGAAAGTGAACTTGAGAACAGACGCCTGGCCCTCGCTCCCTCCTGGAAGGACACACGGATGCTCTCACGCCAGACATCTGTGCATCAGCCTCTCCCACTACTGAAAGGCAGGGCTGCCATGTCCTCCCACAGGGCGATTCAGCCCCCGTGGGGGAGCAACCCGCAACATTTCCAGGGCAAGTTAGAGAGAAACAAGGCAAGCAAGCCAGGAAAAATTAAACCTGTAATTTACATGTCATCTCAACAGACACACACGCAAAAGTGGTTAAAACACAAGCTAGTGTGTTTTATCCTAAAGATGTAACAAGGAAAAAAAAGAGCACTCAAAGGCACTGCCGAGCGCTGTAGTACTCAGCACGTCAGCTCTGGGCCAAGAGAAGTCCACGCAGTAGGAGGGCTCCAGGATCTAGAAACGTCCACTTCCCACACCGGTAGGGCAGCATGCTAACTGCGTCGCACAGCCGTATTTAGACCGCAAGGGCGAGGCTGCCCCCCACAGGCACGCACCCGCACAATGTGCACACACACACACTGACACACGCAACTGCAGACATGCACACACACACAGACACACGCACGTGCAGACATGCACACATACATGCCCACACGGACACACATGTGCAGATATCCAGACACAGGCCCGTGCAGACATGCACACATACATGCCCACACGGACACACATGTGCAGATATCCAGACACAGGCCCGTGCAGACATGCACACATACATGCCCACACGGACACACACGTGCAGACATGCACACAGACACAGGCACGTGCAGACATGCACACATACATGCCCACGTGGACACATGCACGTGCAGACACACATACATACACGCACATGCAGACACACACGTACAGATATCCAGACAAGGCACGTGCAGACATGCACACATACATGCACACACAAACACACATGTGGACACACACGTGCAGACATGCACACATACATGCACACGCACACACGCAGATATGCACACTACACACAGACACATGCCCACACACACGTGCAGATATCCACAGACACACGCACGTGCAGACATGCACACTACACGCAGACACACGCGCAGATATCCACACACATACGCAGACACACGCAGTGCAGATATGCACACATACACACACGCGGACACAGGCCCACGCACACACACACGTGCAGATATCCAAACACACACACATGCAGGCACACACACACGCTCACACACATGCATGTGCACCCAACCACACGCACCCACACCCACACATCTGGCTCAACTAGGAGGCGAAAGTTTGACTCCAAAACCTACAAACAAAGGAATCTTGTAACATCCAAAGGACTGTGGTGGAGAAAGCAGAGTTTACATTCTGATTTGAAAGTTCATGAATCTCAGAGTCTCCCCGAGGAGGCTTGAAGAGAAAACATTCATTTCACACTAAGAAATGCATGCCGACCGTGTGGCCCGAGCGGTCCAACAGCGGCGCTCAGCAGCCCCGGCCACGCGGCCGCTTGCTCAGCTTCTACCTCTTCACCCGGCCGTGCTGCCCACACACCTGAGTGGCATTTCACAGGTTCGCTATACCCCTACCTTGAACAGGCACGCTTGGGCTTCTAACCCGCCCACGACCCTGCCCGGTGGTATAACCAAGCTGGGGAAAAACCACAGTGGCGGATTTCCGGTCCCGGGCGAGCAGGTGCACCTACGCCCTCAGCTAGAGACCTCAGGCCCAGGTCTGAGCGTTACTGCCCGAATCACGCCAGTGTCACCTCTCAGCCCCTCAGCCTCCCAGCCAAAGGATCAGCAGCCGCCAAACTCGCTCCCGGCCAACCAGCCAACTAGAGTCTCCCTGGCCGCGTCACCCACCGGGGGCCACGCTGCCCCCCACCCCCAGTTAGGACCCGCTGCACCTGTCACAACCACGACACGGCGATTTGCCTTTTCTAGATCTGGCTACACAGCAGACAGCCAGCCCCGCTTCCCACTTCTGCAAAGCCAGCACTACCCAGGCCCCAGCCGGCGACTCCCAGCGACGCCCCCATTTCGGGTTGCAGCACTCGGGAAACCCCCGACGGCCCCTGCAGCGGCCGGAAGCGCCGGTCACGAGGAAGCCGGGGATTCCTCCGTGCGTGGGCAGGCAGCAGGACGCGGCCCACACCTGCCCAGCCAGGTTCAGCGCCCTGGTCAACAACAACGCGGGGTGGGGCCGTGAGGCCGTCGCCCCGGGGCTCCGCCGCACCGCTCCTCTCCCCAAACACGGGTCCCGCCCGGCCCCCGGCGTCCGCCGCCGCCCCCGCCCCCGCCCCGGGGCCGCGCCCTCGCCGCGCGGCAGGTGCAGGGAGCCCGGCTGCGTACCCGGTTCTCCAGCTCCGCGGGGAACTTGGTCTGGAACTGGCAGCGGGTGCCGCTGCTGTAGTCTCGCTGAATGAACACCTTCCCGGACACCGGCGCCTGCTGCGGCCTCATGGCGAGGGCTGGACCGGCCGCGCTGTGGGGTCACGGGGAGGGGAGGGGGCACCACGGGTCAGACGCCCGGGCGGGACCCCGGGCTCCGGCCCGCCAAGCCCTCGGGCCCACCCGCCGCCCAACGCAGCCCCAGGCCGCTCCCGCCCCGCTCCCCAGCACCCATGCTGAGCCCCCCACAGCCCGGTTCGGCCCGGGAAGCACCAACCCGCCTCCTCTGCCCTCCAGCTGCTGTCGCGCCGCCGTCACCGTCACTTACGTCCTGCCGCAAAAGGCCTCCGGCCCCGCCCCTCAGCTCGGCCTTCTCCTCAAGCCGCTGGCCCGCCCCGCCCTCCGACCGTAAAGCAGGCCGCTGGCTGCCGTGCGGGGCGTACTGGGGGGCGTGTCCCGGCAGGCCCCGCCCTCGGCCGGGCGGAAGGAAGTCCGGGCGGAAGCTGGCCTGTAGGGTGGCATTCCTGTCGGTGTCGGTGGAGGCCAGGGCGTTCCTGCTAGTTGCTCCTAAGGGCTTGTTTTCGTTCTGGGTCGCCTACGTGTGGGTCGCATCTCGCGACTCGAGTACAAAACAAAAACGCAGCGAACAAAACCCAAAGAGCTCCGCCCCCAAAATAATAATAATAACCCAGACAGAATCCCAACTGCTCGCCCATATCTGGAAATAGAAAGCGGACCGCCGGGCACCCACTGGCCCCTCGGGGAACTCCTGGAGACTTGGACCGTGGTCCGGTGTCCGGCCTTGGCCTCCGCCTCCGCCCCCGGTGTCCTGGCTGCTGCCAGTGACGACGGTCCCAGCCCGCCCTGCCCGGGCCTGTGCCTCCTGACCAACATCCTGCCTTGTGCATATTGAAATTTTTATCATTTCTAATTTTTTTTTTTTAACTTGAGAGCCATCCGCTGGTTTACTGCTCAAATGGGGCCAAAGCCAGTAGCTGGGAACTGTATCAGCCTCCCACGTGGGTGGCAGGGCCCCCAGCACTTGAGTCATCACCTGCTGCCTGTAGTTAGTTGGAAGTCAAGACGGGGATTGAACCCAGGTACGTCCACGTGAGACATAGGGTTGCATCCACCAGGCTAAGTGTACGTCCCACTTACTGTGTTTTACTAGTTTTGTTTGGGCACAGTGACAGGGAGATGGGGAGGCAGAGATACTCCAAAAGCTGGTTCATTTACCAAATGGCTTCAACAGCTGGGCCGGGGCCGGGCTGAAGCCAGGAGCCTGGAACTCCATCCAAGTCTCCCACGTGGGTGCAGGGGCCTGAACACTCCGGAGTCTTCTGCTGCTTTCCCAGGCGCGTTAGCAGGGAGCTGGATGGGAAGTGGAGCAGCCTGGGGCTGGGCTTGGTTGTTGCAAGTTGTGGCTTAACCTGCTGCAGCAACAGTGTCGGCCCCCTGTGTCTTAAAAGCAGCTTTAATAAGGTCTAAACGGCAACCGACACTCGGCTGCCGAGAAAGTGGACAGTTGGCTGGGTTCTGACGTGTGCGCACGCCCAACAACCATCAGAGCCAAGATGTGAGTTCACCTTCCTCAGAGATTCCTGTGCGCCTCTGTAGCCCACCCCCACTTCCGGCCTAGTGCGTCATTCACTCCTGCTTTTTGTTCAGTGGGAATCGCGGGCGGTGGGTAGTGTTGTGTCATTGTCCAGCCCCCTCCTTAAGTGCACTCGATGTCTATCTCCTGGGAAAATCTGGATGGGGGAGGGGCGGAGAAGTGCTTGTTCCTTGTCACAGTTCAGAACAGAAGTCCCTCTTTGGCCACAGGTGTCATCCTGGGGACATGAGGTGTTTTTTTTTTGTTTTTTTTTTTTTTTTTTTTGACAGGCAGAGTGGATAGTGAGAGAGACAGAGAGAAAGGTCTTCCTTTTGCCGTTAGTTCACCCTCCAATGGCCGCCGCACCACGCTGATCCAATGGCAGGAGCCAGGTGCTTCCTCCTGGTCTCCCATGTGGGTGTAGGGCTCAAGCACTTGGGCCATCCTCCACTGCACTCCCAGGCCACAGCAGAGAGCTGGCCTGGAAGAGGGGCAACTGGGACAGAATCCGGCACCCTGACCGGGACTAGAACCCGGTGTGCCGGCGCCGCAAGGTGGAGGATTAGCCTAGTGAGCCGCGGTGCCAGCGGGACATGAGATTTGACGTGGCCGAAGGTGGTGCATCTGTGCCTGGAGGAACCAGGTGCTCTCTTGGGAGCACCAAGAGATATGGTGAGTTGGCAGAAGCCTGGGACTTGGGACGAGGGGCTGTGCAAGGCGAAGGCCTTTGGCTGGGCTTGCAGATTTCTGCGTGGTGGGAAGGGTAATGCAGCACCTGCTACAAGCCAGTGGTGCCCGGAGACCCGCAGGCCAAGCTCTAGAGGGCCCCAGAACAAGAGTCCACATCCCCCCCTACAGGGCAGAGTGACGTGCAGACTTCCCTGGAACTCAGAGCCCCCAGGAGAAGCTCATTGAACCAAAGACCCAACCCGGCTAAAGAAAGTACCTGGGTTAAAAAGAAAGAGAAGTTGTTTTTTTTTGAATGGATAAGTTCAAGTTCAAGTTCAAGGAGTTCTTGGCTCCCAGTAAGAATCAAGAGAATGAAGTTTCTTTCCTCAACTCACCTGTCACCTGTCATCTCTCAGAAGCCACCCCTGGATTTCACCCAAGGAGGTAAAATCTGAGCTTGGTGGATTCTCTCCTCTGTCTACCTTTTTTTTTGACTGGCAGAGTTAGACAGTGAGAGAGAGAGAGAGAGAGAAAGAGAGAGAGAGAGAAAGGTCTTCCTTCCGTTGGTTCACCCCACAAATGGCCGCTATGGCTGTCAAAGCCAGGAGCCAGGTACTTCCTCCTGGTCTCCCATGTGGGTGCAGGGCCCAAGCACTTGGGCCATCCTCCACTGCCTTCCCGGGCCACAGCAGAGAGCTGGACTGGAAGAGGAGCAACCGGCACCCCGACCGGGACTAGAACCTGGGTTGCCAGCACCACAGGTGGAGAATTAGCCTAGTGAGCTGTGGCGCCGGCCTCCTCTGTCTACCTTTATTTTGGAGCTGATGATGGGGGCTGGGATTCTGTCCAATACCAAGTGACACAGATATGTGATTGTGGAATTGCTTTCCTCCAAGCAGAGCTGGTTATGTGACTGGATTAGGAGCATGCGTGTTCCTCAGCTCCCGATGGGGCTGTGTCCTGGTGAACCCACGGAAAGTCAGAAACATCATAAATCAAGGATGCACTGGGTCCACCCAACCCGCTGAGCACTCTGCAACAGGGCGCTCTGCAGACCCTGGGTTGTCTCTGCTTGCGATAGCTGTGCTGGCTGGGGGCTGTGCTCACCGCTGCGGCCCAGCATCGAGAGAGAGAGAGAGAGAGAGAGAGAGAGAGAGAGAATTGCACCCCATATGCAAAGCTCCAGAGGAAGTCAAAATTCAAAATCTGAAGCACAGTTTCTACTGAATGTGCCTCACTTTTGCAGCATCACAAAGCCGAAAAAAAAAAAAGGGGGCCGACGCTGTGACACAGCGGGCTAACGCCTGGCCTGGGGCGCCAGCATCCCATATGGGCGCCGGTTCGAGTCCCAACTGCTCCACTTCTGATCCAGCTCTCCGCTGTGGCCTGGGAAAGCAGTAGAAGATGGCCGAGTCCGTGGGAGACCCAGAGGAAGCTCCTGGCAGCCTGTGTGTTGGCACAGGGCCTGTTTTCCTGCCTTGTTGCACCTGATTAATGATGATCCCTTTGCAATGCATGTCTACAGATGTGCCTGGGTCAGAGGCGTGGCATCGGCGAAAGATTCCAGTCCCAGCAGCCTTCATTCTCTTCATTCTTCTGCTCCCTTCTCCTCCTCCCCCTGCTCCTCCTCTTTCGCATCTTTTCTTCCTGGTTTTTTTTTTTTTTTTTTTTTTTTTGGTTAATGGTGGTGAGTGGTTTACGACAACTCTAGCCTCATCAATGCGTTTGAGTGCACTTTGGAATTTTGTAACATTAACCCGTGTTCAGTTTTTTCCCCCCATTCAGTTTTAGTGATCAAAGAAACTTGTAGCTATAGCATGTTAATGCCCTTGGATGATTATGTAGACAATTTCCTTGTCTTACCCCATTTCAATGATGGATTTCTGAGGTCCCTAGGAAGTATTTCACAAACTGTTCACATAAATGGCCTCCTTTTTTTTTTTTTTTAGATTTATTTTATTTATTTGAAAGTCAGAGTTACACAGAGAGAGAAGGAGAGGCAGAGAGAGAATCTTCCATCCTCTGGTTCACTCCCAGTTGGCCACAATGGCCAGAGCTACGCCAGTCCAAGGCCAGGAGCCAGGAGCTTCTCCCAGGTCTCCCACCCGGGTGCAGGGGCCCAAGGACTTGGGCCATCTTCCACTGCTTTCCCAGGCCATAGCAGAGAGCTGGATCAGAAGCCGGGACTAGAACCGGCGCCCGTATGGATGCTGGCACTGCAGGCGGCGGCTTTACCTGTGATGCCACAGCGCCGGCCCCTCCCCATTGGATTTGACCCTGAAAGGATAAAAAAAAAAATGATGGCTGACAACATGGGGAAGGAAGAGAGCCCAAGTCAACCACGCCTCTGGCTCTGCTGGAGAAAGAAGAGACGCTGGAGCTAACTGAGGTTGTAATGTTGATGGTTGATTTTAATCACAGAAATGGAATTGTGCGGTTGGCCGGGAGGGACCAGAAAAGCTATCGGACCTGCTAGAGATTTTAATCAAGGGATGGAAAAGAGCAAGTGCAGGAACAGGCTGGAAGGGGCAGTGGAGGAAAGTTGGCTCAAAACATTGCGCTGTGCTGTGCTGGCAGCAGGCCGGGACAGTGTGTGTTGTGTTTATTGTACGTTACGCATCTCATGCATGGAGTCTCTTGGTTGCGTCAAGAGGTCACACACTGAATGATTGACCTGTCCCATCTAGGTTCCAGTAAGTGGGGTGTTCCTACAATGGCAGAGTCACCTTCCAAGGCACATCCCAGAACATTTCCCAATGTTAAGTAATGCATGACTGTAATATGAATCAGACATGATCAATAATCCATGAGTCTAGGCCTGCTCCCAACTATCATCTCACTCAATATAGTTTTCAAAATCCCTTTAGTAGTTTAAGGAGCTGACGTTGAGATGTTAATCTATAGGCTTGAAGTTTCTTTTTTTCCTTCTTTTTCAAGTCAGAGTCCTTTGTGTGTTGTTTCTTTGACCCCTACGTGTTATCTAATATATTTTTCTACAATGGACTCTCAAGAAATGCTTTGCTGGCCGGCGCCGCGGTTCACTTGGCTAATCCTCCGCCTGTGGCTCTGACACCCCGGGTTCTAGTCCCATTGGGGCACCGGATTCTGTCCTGGTTGCTCCTCTTCCAGCCCAGCTCTCTGCTGTGGCCTGGGAAGGCAGTGGAGGATGGCCCAAGTGCTTGGGCCCTGCACCCCATGGAAGACCAGGAGAAGTACCTGGCTCCTGGCTTCAGATCGGGGCAGCGTGCCGGCCGTAGCGGCCATTTGGGGGGTGAACCAACGGAAGGAAGACCTTTCTCTCTGTCTCTCTCTCTCTCACTGTCCACTCTGCCTGTTAAAAAAAAAAAAAAAGAAATGCTTTGCTGATGAGTTCATCCACCAAACATTTATCGAGCACTTATTCAATGGAGTATAGAGAATGTACATCCCCCTGACGCCCACCTTCTTGGTGGGAGGAGCGAAATTGTAGCAGGTGAATGAACTTTGGAGGAGGGGAGGTAGCAGAGTATTCCAGTCCCTGTGCCCAGAGGGCGATGACTGTACCTGGAGTAGGAGTCTGGTGTCTGCTTGGGTGTGGTGAGGTGGGGTCAGGTGAGAGGTGTGTAGGAGAGAAGAGCTTAGGTTCTCCTACGAATCCCTCTGTTGTCTCCCTTATGACAGCATCTCGTCTCCAAAGCCTCCGTCTTTGTGTGGGACCCTGGAACGTTCTCATTTTCAGCGGGAGACATTCCTGTAAAAGCATCAGTTGCTGCTGGATATTGTTGGGTCTGTTTTAAACTCCCTACGGGACACACTGGCTTGTTTCTTTTTTTCTTTTCTTTTCTTTTTTTTTTTTTTTTTTTTTTTTTTTTTTTTTTTGACAGGCAGAGTGGACAGTGAGAGAGACAGAGAGAAAGGTCTTCCTTTGCCGTTGGTTCACCCTCCAATGGCCGTCGCGGCTGGCACGCTGCGGCTGGTTCACGGCGCTGATCTGATGGCAGGAGCCAGGTACTTCTCCTGGTCTCCCATGGGGTGCAGGGCCCAAGCACCTGGGCCATCCTCCACTGCACTCCCGGGCCACAGCAGAGAGCTGGCCTGGAAGAGGGGCAACCGGGACAGAATCCGGCGCCCTGACCGGAACTAGAACCCCGTGTGCCAGCGCCGCAGGTGGAGGATTAATTTAGTGAGCCGCGGCACCAGCAGTACCTGATTATTTATTTGAAAGTCAGAGTTACACAGAGAGAGAAGGAGAGGCAGAGAGAAAGAGAGAGGTCTTTCATCCACTGGTTCACTCCCCAGATAGCCTCAACAGCCAGGGCTGCGCCGATCCGAAGCCAGGAGCCAGGAGCCAGGAGTCTCTTCTGGGTCTGCCACACGGGTGCAGGGGCCCAAGGATTTGGGCCATCTTCTACTGCCTTCCCAGGCCATAGCAGAGAGCTGGATCGGAAGTGGAGCAGCCGGAACTTGAACCAGCACCCATGTGGGATGCCAGCACTGTAGGCAGTGGCTTTACCCACTACGCCACAGCACCGGCCCCTGTGTCTGCCTTTCATTGTGAGGGAGAAGAGCGGCGGGAATGAATTCAGTAGGAAGGGTCCTTTGCCCAAATCATTTAGGCTCACACTGAAGACCTCTCTTATCTACAGAGGCTTGGAGCAGGCAGAACGTTTGGAGATTGCCGACTCTCTGTTCATCAGCGTGGTGCAGAATCACGGAGCTGGGACCAGGGCTGGCATCGTGGGCACCTGACCTGTACACTCACAGAGGCTCTTGGAAGGCCCCTCTGCGTGGCTCACTGTTCTGCTATTGTCATTTTGGAATTCCCAATAATTTCCAAACGCAGAGGTCTGCATTTTTTCAATTTTGCAACCGGGCCTCACAAGGTATGTAGTCCATTGTGGCTGGGAGAAGGGAGAGGCATGGGTGGGAACACAGCACCTTACCCCTGGAATGGAAGACTTGGCCTCTGAATCTCTTGAGGGGCCTCATTGGATGTCAGTGTTGGCCAAAGAGAAAAAAGGGGAAGAAGAAAGCATTTCCTTTAGAACATGGCCCCTGGGGCCAGCCTTTGTCCTAGAAGTTGAGCGTCAGTTCGGATGCTCACAGCCTATATCAGGGTGCCTGGGTTCGAGTCTCCGCTCCCTCTCCGATTCCAGCTTCCTGGAAGGCAATGGTGATGGCTCAAGTGACTGGGTTTCTGCCACCCACATGGGACGTTCTGAATTGAGTTCCTGGATCCCGGCTTCAGCCCTCTAGTCAGTGTAGGCAGTTGGGGAGTAACCAAAGGATTCACTCTCTGTCTCTCTGCCTCTCACATAAACGAGTAGTTATGATTTCCCTAAAAAAAAAAAAAAAAAAAAAAGCCAAAAGTGTAGCTCCCTCCAGTTGGAAGGGCCCGGGGAGCACCCAGTTCTGAGAGCGCACAGCTTGAACTCTGTACTGCTAGGGAGGGAAACTTCCCGGCTCCCCCAGCACAGCCTTCCAGGGCCACTCCGAGCCGAGCCACAGCTGGTCTTCTCAAGGGCAAACTCCTGCCAACACAGAGGCTTCTTTCCCGAGCAGCTCTGTCCACCCTGTGCATCCCAGGGCGACGGCACAGGGGAATGAGGCTGTTTGTCCACTTCCGACTTGCAGACTTCCTCCTGAGCCTGGCTCCTGGGGCAGTGAAGTCACCAACCTCTTGTCATCCGCTGCTGGAGGCGCATTCACAGCGAGGGGAGCTGGCCGCTCAGGGCCAGACAAGAATCCAGATGAAGAATGATGGAGTGAAGGTCCCCCCCCCCCACCAGGAACGGCACAGGGATGCTGGCGTGGCGGAGGGTGCTGGGTTTCTTTTTTTTTTTTTTTTTGAGCAGGGGGCAGTGGAGGCTGTAGACACAGAACCCTGTATAGAGTGTGTAGAAGCTCCTCACCTTTCCAAACCATGGGCTCAGAAATGCTGTTGGGGGCCCAGCACTGTGGCGTAGTGGGCTAAGCCTCCACCTGTGGCACCAGTATCCCATATGGGTGCTGGTTCGAGTCCTGGCTGCTCCAGTTCTGATCCAGCTCTCCACTATGGCCTGGGATAGCAGTAGAAGATGGCCCAAGTGCTTGGGCCCCTACACCCACATGGGAGACCCAGAAGAAGCTCCTGGCTCCTGGCTTCGGATCAGCGCAGCTCCAGCTGTTCTGGCCAGTTGGGGAGTGAACCAGCAGATGGAAGCCCTTTCTTTTTGTCGCTCCCCCTCTTCATGGAGGAGCGACACTAAACCCTGCCTAGGCTTCATATCCGAGTCACGGCACCATTATGTCGCTCCCCCTCTTCGTGGAGGAACGACACTAAGCCCTGCCTAAGCTTCATATCCGAGTCACGGCACCATTATGTCGCTCCCCCTCTTCGTGGAGGAACGACACAGGACCCTGCACTGTTCTTTTGTCTGCTCGGCCCTTCCCGGGTTTGCTGCTGGTTCTTCCCGGGTTGGCTACTGTCCCTTCCACCTCTGTGGAAGGGCGGTTCCCCCTGCCACTTTCCCCACTTCCGCAGGGGAGCGGCACACCGCCGGCCGGCTCTCTCGGGGGCTGCACAGGTGTTCCCCTTAGATGTTCCCCTTAGGTGTTCCTGGTGCATGCCGTCTCTCTCCTCCTTTATAGTCCTCCTCCGCCAATCCCAACTCGGCTGCCCACACGCCGAGCACGCTGCTCTCCTCCAATCAGGAGCAGGTCCTACAGTTTATTGGCTGAACTGGAGGCAGCTGTGTAGAAGCTGTTTTCTCCTCTCCCAGCGCCATATTGTGGGAGAGCAGACGCACAGAATAAGTCCCAATTCCAGTAACTTAGTCTAGTCTGAGTTGCTCCCAGTTGCTCCCCACAGATCCCCCTTTCTTTTTATTTTTTGGCGTTGATACGCGCCTGTCTTCGGTGTCCCGCAGCACACACTCTGCTCTGTTTGCTAGAGTTGCCACAGGTTCTTACAAGTCCTATCAATCAGGCAAACTGAATCCGGGTCCTCTCTTCGCCATGTTGTGAGGAGGTTTTTAGGCGCTGATGCGTGCCTGTGTTCGGTGCCCTGCAGTGCATGCTCTGCTCTGCCTGCAGGTGCTTACAAGCCCTATCAGGCAAACCGAACTCAAGTCTTCTCATTGCCATATTGTGGGGAGGCCTATTGGTGTTGATTTGTGCCTATCTTCGGTGACCTGCGACTCATACTCTGGTCGAGCCGCCTGCTGGTGCTTACCACCTTACTAATCAGGCAGACCGAATCCAAGCCTTCTCATTGCGGTATTGTGGGGAGACTATTGATGTTAATAACGTGCCGTCTTCGGTGACCTGCGGTGCATAAGCTGCTAGCCGCCCGCAGGTGCTCATCGCCTCACTAATCAGGCAGACCGAATCCAAGCCTTCTCATTGCGGTATTGTGGGGAGACTATTGATGTTAATAACGTGCCTGTCTTCGGTGACCTGCGGCGCATAAGCTGCTAGCCGCCCACAGGTGCTCACCACCTCCCTAATCAGGCAGACCGAATCCAAGCTCTCTCATTGCTGTGTTGTGGGGAGGCCTTTCTATTTCTCTATTTCTCTATCTCCGGGCATTCCTATTTCTCCCATTTTACTTCTATCTTCCAGCATTCCTATTTCTCTCATTTTACTTCTAAACTTCTGTTTCTCTTATCCCTGCGGCTTCCCGGCGCCCGCCCCGAGGCTGCTTCTCGGCACCTGCCCCGCGGCAGCTTCCCGGCTCTGAGCCGCTTCAGCCTGTGCCTCTCTCATCTGCGCGGCTTCCCGGCTTCGCGCCTGTACCACAGCCTCGCACCAGCCCAGCGTTCCCTATCTACTTGTGCCCCGCACGCTCTCTCTGCGCGCGGCAGCCTCCGCGAGTCACACAGCGTAGCTTACGTCTCCGCCACTAGCATTCAATCTAAGTTCCCCGGGCTAGCCTGGCGAATTCAACCCAGCTCACGTCTCCGCCCCACAATTTGGCTTCCCGTCCTTTGCTCCCCGGGCTAATCAGACGGATCCCAACCTGGCTTACGTTTCCACTTCTGGTTTTAACTTTTCGCCCCTTATTCCTGGGCTAACTTGAGAATCCCAAAGTGGCTTTCGTCTCCGCCTTGGCCTGCCCCCCGCGGCTTCAATTTCCCTAACATTTTTCTCTACCCGGTATGTTTCCCCAAGCTTTCTTCCAACAATATTCCTCCCTCATTTCTCCTGGCTTCTCCCCACAGTCCGTATCCAAGTCTGTTTGTTCTAGCTTTCACTTTCGCTTTCGACCTTAGAGATTTCTCCCAGCTTCCCCCTGTAGTCCGTATCTGAGTCTATGCCTAGGCTTTCAATAGCTTCTTCCGGCACCTTTTTCGTCCGGCTTTTCCCTAGGCTGTTTGCTAGTCTCTCTCTCCGATATTTTCCCATTTCTTCCCTCCTAAGTTTCCTATCCGTCCTAGGTTTCCTATCCGAGTCACGGCACCATTATGTCGCTCCCCCTCTTCATGGAGGAGCGACACTAAACCCTGCCTAGGCTTCATATCCGAGTCACACACCATTATGTCGCTCCCCCTCTTCGTGGAGGAACGACACTAAGCCCTGCCTAGGCTTCATATCCGAGTCACGGCACCATTATGTCGCTCCCCCTCTTCGTGGAGGAACGACACAGGACCCTGCACTGTTCTTTCGTCTGCTCGGCCCTTCCCAGGTTTGCTGCTGGTTCTTCCCGGGTTGGCTACTGTCCCTTCCACCTCCGTGGAAGGGCGGTTCCCCCTGCCACATTCCCCACTTCCACAGGGGAGCGGCACACCGCCGGCCGGCTCTCTCGGGGGCTGCACAGGTGTTCCCCTTAGATGTTCCCCTTAGATGTTCCTGGTGCATGCCGTCTCTCTCCTCCTTTATAGTCCTCCTCCGCCAATCCCAACTCGGCTGCCCACACGCCGAGTACGCTGCTCTCCTCCAATCAGGAGCAAGTCCTACAGTTTATTGGCTGAACTGGAGGCAGCTGTGTAGAAGCTGTTTTCTCCTCTCCCAGCGCCATATTGTGGGAGAGCAGACGCACAGAATAAGTCCCAATTCCAGTAACTTAGTCTAGTCCGAGTTGCTCCCTACACTTTTGTCTTTCCCTTTCTCTGTAACTCCGCTTTCTTGAATAAATAAATTAAAAAAATTTTCTAGGAAAGATCACCATGTAACTGAAGACATGGGCCAAGGCCTTCCTACCCCAAAACGCATTTCCACTGTCAGATTTGCTGCCTTGATCTCTGGTCAGGAAGCCACCGTCCACACAGACCCAAGGTGGGTTTATATCCAGGCCTTTATACACATAGGGGGTGTCTTCCTGTGCAGAAGTGGGAAGGCAAGAGTTGGGGTGCAGAGGGGGGCCCAGGGAGTTCCCGGCAGGGGCGGGGTTTCCCCGAGGGCCAGAGCCTGCCAAAAGTCATCGGAGGCCTTGGTGGGGAGCGGGCAGTGGGAGAGGACTGTCAGACCATGTGCTCAGGATTCCCGGCGTGAGGAGGCTGTAGGAAGCAGGTGTTCCCTGGGAGGCCGTGCGTCTTGCAGGGTGAGTCCTGGCCACATGGACAACAGGCTTTCATCCCACACCTCTGAGCATGGGGAGAAGCCCAGCTCCATGCGGCCTTCTCTTTTTATTCAATCCACCTAGCACTTTTTTCTTAAAGATTTTATGTATTTATTTGAGAGGTAGAATTACAGACAGTGAGAGGGAGACACAGAGGAAAGGTCCTCCATTTGCTGGTTCACTCCCCAAATGGCCAGGCAGAGGCTCAGCCCACTGTGCCACAGTGCCAGCCCCCAAAACACAATTTTTTTTTTAAGATTTATTTATTTGTTTGAAAGGCAGAGTTGCAGAGAGCCAGAGAGAGACAGAAGTCTTCCATCCGCTGGATAGCTCCATTTGCAACAGCCAGAGCTGGGCCAGGCAAAGGCAGGAACCAGGAACTCCATCCAGGTCTCCCACATGGGTGCAAGGGCCCAAGCATTTGGGCCATCTTCCACTGCTTTTCCATAGCAGAGAGCCAGATCATAAGTGGAGCAGCCGGGACTCAAACTGGTGCCCATATGGGATGCTGGCACTGCAGGTGGTAGCTTAACTGGCTATGCCACAACACGGGCTCCTATAAGGCTTTTTAAAAGCAACTTTTGGGGGCCGGTGCTGTAGCGCAGCAGGTTAACGTCCTGGCCTGAAGCGCTGGCTTCCCATATGGGCGCCGGTTGGAGTCCTGGCTGCCCCACTTCCGATCCAGCTCTCTGCTATGGCCTGGGAAAGCAGCAGAAGATGGCCCAAGTGCTTGGGCCTTTGCATCCACATGGGAGACCCGGAAGAAGCTCCTGGCTCCTGGCTTCGGATTGGTGCAGATTTGGCTGTTGCAGCCAACTGGGGAGTGAACCAGCAGATGGAAGAGCTCTCTCTCTCTCTCTGTGCCTCTCCTCTCTCTGTGTAACTCTGACTTTCAAATAAATAAATCTTAAAAGAAGCAACTTTTGATGTGGTTTAAAACAAAATTAAAAATGCATTTGTGTTTATTTGAGCAGTAGAGAGAAGAAGAAACAGACATAGAGAGATTTCCCATCCCCTGTTTATTTCCCAAATACTGGCCAGACCACCTGCTATCTCCCAGGGTCTGTGTGAGCAGGGAGGTGGAATCGGAAGCAGAGCTGAAACCTGAATCCAGGCACCCTGATATAGGAGGTAGATATCCCAAGCAGAGCCCTAACCATTACAGCAAACACCCAGCACTATGTGATTATTTCAGAGTTAAAGTTTATAAAGCAGCAGTCATGGCTGAGGTCCTTGGACCCCTGCTACCCATGTGGGAGACCAGGATGGAGTTCCTAGCTCCTGGCTTTGGCCAGGTCCCAACTTGGCTATTGTAGCCATTTGGGGGAGTGAACCAGTAGATGCAAGATTCTCTCTCTCTCTCCCTCTCCACATCTCTCTGTCACTCTGGCTTTCAAATCAATCAATCAATCAATCGATCTTTGAAGGAATACAAGGGGTCTCTTTGCTGTGTAGCAATCCACACACTTTTATCTCTGGTGCTGAACGAGGGCATTGCTCCCTCTCCTGGTTTTTCATTTATAGGCTGGAGGTTCAGGGCCACAGCCCCCGGCGGTGGGGGTGGTGGTGGTGGTGGTGGTGGTGGAGGAGATCTCAGGCCCTGCCAGCCCCGATCTGACCTGATCCTCCTCTTCTTTTGCTGCTCCCCTAACGGTGCCTGGCACTGCCTCTAACTGGCCCCTGCCAGCCGCTGCACCTGTGCCGCCTCCAGGACCTGGAACTCTAACACTCTCTCTCTCTCTCTCTCTCTCCATTGCCACTGCGGCTGCTGCTCAGGCGTGGGGAGCCCCTGGGCTTCCTCCCTCCACCTTGCTTGGTGTGTTTCTCTCTACCTTTCAAGGTTTCAGAAAGGATCTGTGGGCTCCTTCCTTCTAACAGACCGTGGATTTGAAAGGCCGCTCAGAGAATGACGTCTTCAAAACCCAAGGTGGGTCGTGTGGCCCTCTGGTGGAAGGGCCTGTCTGCCTACAGGACAAGTTCCAAAGCCTTGTGGATGAGCGGTCTGGGTCAAAGGGGCTTCCCCATCCCGCCCCCACAAGCGATGTGGTGGAGTCCAAAGTCCCAGGGACCGGGGCTCTTCACAAAGGTGATCTCGTTAATTCGAGGCCATTGGACCCGAGCCCTAGTCCCGTAAGGTATACGGAGATGCTAGCTGTGCTGTTACGGGCCAGGGAGAGGAGCCTGGAGCACACCCTTCCCTAGAGCCTACTGAGGGAGCCTGGCCCTGCCCACGCTGAATTCCAGACCGCTAACCTCCAGAACCGGTCGATTTCCGTCCCTGGTGGCGCTTTGAGCCAACGCACGCCCCCGCATCTCCGGGAATGGTTGTCTGACCGCTGGTCCCCCGGGCCAGATCTCATGCTGGACTCTGGGGTTCAGCTGGAAACGAGGCGGAGGGGCCCGGCGGCCGGCAGAACACAGCGCAGGCTCTGCATAGCTCCCGGGGGGCAAGGGCCCACAAAGCCAAAGTGCCAGATTAGCATTCGCAGAGGGCTTCCTGGAAGAAGTGGCACTGAAGGGTGGCCGCAGGCAGGGCTCTCCCTCCGATGCAAGGGGAACTGTGGAAAGAACGGCAGGAGGACAGGCGGCTTGGGCGCTGTGCAGTCTGAGATTTCCTGGGCAGTCAGGTGCCCCGCCCTCCTCTGCTCCCCCCTCCCCTGCTGGCCTCTCATCCATCTTCAGGGGTCGTGCTTGGTGACTTTTCCCCTTTAAGGTGGACCTTGCTCATTCTAACCAGATGTGGACTATTGTGAAAACACGGTGGAGAGAACGAGAGAAGAGAAGCCCCAGCCTGGGAGGGAAAATGTTTGCAGACAAGGCACAATCTGATAAAGGACTGGTGTGCAAAGCATACAAGGAGCGCTCCAGATTCAGTGTCAGGGAAGGAGCCACCTCACTGCAAAGTGGGAAAAGAGAAATGGGTGACGAGCAAGCACCTGCCCGGTGTGCGGCGCCTCATCAGGGGGCGGCGAAATAAACCACACGGGAACAATCACAGCCCCGGATCTGAACAGCCGGAACCCCCAGCACCAGCAGCCACAGGGACTGAGCTCGCACTCCGTGCTGGTGGGAATGCGAAGACGGCACAGCCGCTTCGGAAGCCAGCCCGGCGGGCTCCTGAGCACCAAGGACACCCGACCATATGGTGCAGCCGCCACACTCCTTGGCGTGTGCCCCAATCTGTTGAAGATGTATGGTCACACAAAGCCCTGCCTTGCAGGCATGCATAACAGCTTTGCTCAAAATCGCCAGCATGTGGAAACCACCCGAGGTGTCCTTCAGGGGGTAAATGGGCAAACTACTGTGGTGTGTTGAGGTCCATGGATTATTATTATTATTTTTTGACAGGCAGAGTTAGACAATGAGAGAGAGAGAGAGAGAGAGAGGTCTTTCTTCCATTGGTTCACCCCCCAAATGACCGCTATGGCTGGCGCGCTGCTTTGATCTGAAGCCAGGATCCAGGTGCTTCCTCCTGGCCTCCCATGGGGTGCAGGGCCCAAGCACTTGGGCCATCCTCCACTGCACTCCCTGGCCACAGCAGAGAGCTGGACTGGAAGAGGGGCAACCGGGACAGAATCCGGCGCTCCGACCGGGACTAGAACCCAGGGTGCCGGTGCCGCAGGTGGAGGATTAGCCTAGTGATCTGCGGTGCCGTCCTGAGGTCCATGGATTATTATTTGGTGCTGAGATAAAAAAACAAGCTCTCAGCCACGCGATGAAATGAGGGACACTGAAATGCATGTGGGTAAAAGTGGAAAAGAAACCAATCTGGAAAGATGGAAGTTCGGACACGAAAAAACACCAGTGGTTTCCAGAGACTGGGGGTGGGCTGGCGGAAACAGGGCACAGTGGATTTTTAGGGCTGTGTTGCCGTCTGACACTGTGATGCAGCCACATGGTGTACACCTGTGTCAAGCCCCAGGCCTGAGCCCGGATGTGTACACTGCAGACTTGGGGTGCTCATGCTGTGTCCGTGCAGACAGGGGATCCGTGGCAATTGTGTACTTTCTGCTTGATTTTGCTATAACTGAGCTGCTCTAAAATGCACAGTTGATTAAAAAAAAAAACCACATGGGCTGGCATTGTGGCATAGCAGGTAAAGCTGCTGCCAACAGCGCTGGGATATTATATGGGCACCAGCTGAGCCCTGGCCACTCCACATCCAATCCAGCTCCCTGCTAATGTGCCTGGGAAAGCAGCGGAATGGTCCAAGTGCTTGGGTTCCTGCACCCACGTGGGAGACCATGATGAAGCTCCTGGCTCCAGGATTTGGTTTGGCCCAGCCCTGGCCTTTGCAGCCATTTGGGGAGTGAAACAGCAGATTAAGGAATCTCTCTCTCTTTTTTTATAACTGACCTTCCAATAAATAAATCTTTTTCCCAGGCCACAGCAGAGAGCTGGACGGGAAGAGGAGCAGCCGGGACTCGAACCGGAGCCCATATGGGATGCCGGCACTGCAGGCTGTGTCTTTACCTGCTATGCCACAGCATCGGCCCTCCCAAGCTTCTTATGAACTTCAAAAAGAGGCGTGGTTACACAGTACTGCCCCCAGGTCCCAGGTTAGGGAGGTGCATCTTGGGGAAGAGTCATCTGATTGACAGCTGGGGTGATGGGATTACAAGGGCGGGGAAGGAGTGGGCTCCAGCTCCTGAACTATGTATCTCCCTGGCTTTTCCCACTTGGAATGTCAGTTTCTAGGGTGGCATTCCTGCTTCCAGCCGATTTCCACTGAAATCTCTCCCACTTTTCTGATGATGACCGAACTGGACCTCCCTCTTCAGATCTTTCCGACTCTAGGTCCCTGGTCCTCACCAGCTGCTGGGTTAATTCTATTTAATTAGGCCTGGCCTTTTCCTGGCGCCATGTGGCTTTAATATATGTGTTTCCACTATCTCCTAATGTCTTATCTCCTAGACCTGAGCATTTATAAAGACGTTGCAAACGGAATTTAATTAAAAACATATGGATCTGCTTTGAAATGCGTCCTTATCGATGCATAACATGCAGCTGCCTCACTGCAGCGATCCCAGAGTAGACAGAAGCCGTCTGACCTTGCCCCTTCCCTTCACAGATGGAGAGATGGAGGCCAGGGGCGAGAGGGAGACTCCGCAGGGTCCTGGGGCTCTGCAGCCCCCACTTCCAGTCCCAGGTCTGCTGCCCTCAGCTGAGGCTGCCCCTACTGTGATGTGGGTTTGTGGGGTCCAGCACTCTCTCTGCAAGGAGCTGTTCCCCTCTTCCTCCTCCTCCTGCCCACATGCCCCCCCTCCCCAAGATCTCCTGTCCTTGTTCTTTAATGCAAAGCTTTCACAGGTGCATTGCTGGGATTGAAGACATCCGTGAGCCCCCCGCTGCCTTCCAGAAGCACAAATGGAAATCCCGGAGGATTTGGGTCCTGTTACTGGCCACGGAGGGGCAAGTTTCGTGGATTTGCCTCAGCTTAGTATGGAAATAAGAAGCCGGGAAACACTTTGCAAAAAAAAAAAAAAAAAAAAAAAGGCAAAAACTTTATTTCAGCTTGCAAAGTGACAGAAAAGAGTCTGGTTGGAGAGGAGACCAGGGTTTTTAAGGCATTGCTGTCTTTTCATCGGGGTCATTCTATGGGGGTGCCCCGTTGGACAGGGGTTTTACCTACGCTGTGTTGATTGGCTTGGGGCCCATGGAGACAGCTGGGGGTCTCTTGGAGGCAGCCCGGACTCCCTTAGGGGCTCAGCCCCTTCCTCTGCTGGCTCTGGGTGGAAGATTGCAACTTAGTTGAAGCTGTGGTTAAAACCACAGGCTCACACATACCGAACAGGAGGCTGTAGTGGGGGACGCCGGCCGGCCGGCCTGGATAGAAGCTTCCCAGCCACAGTTTGAAACCCGCATGTGCGGGGACATCCCAGCTCTGTCTGCGGGGCCCACAGACCCCTAACCCCACGGACCGCCTCATGTCCCACAGCCGGTGCCCGTGAGTGTGCCGTGAGAAGCCACTTTTGCAGACTTGTAGTGGAAGGCTGCCTCCCGGGGACCGAGCCCCGCCTGAGCTTACACAACCCTTTTGTTTCACACAGGGCGGGGGCGGGTGGCAGGAGGGCATGGGGGAAATATCTGGAAACGCAGTTAATGAACTTTGTGTGAAGAGGATCCAAAGCCTCTCAAAGCTTGTCCCAGGGGCCGAGATAACACGGTGACCCGGGCGGCTGAGAGGACAAGAAACAGAAGTTTGTATTGGCACCGGTTCCTTTATCCCACCAAAAGGAAAAAAAAAATAGAACAAAACAAAACTCTTCCTGAGGCAGTGAGAACATACTGGGTTTACTCACGCTTTATTTCTCTGCTTATTTCGCTGATAAGCATATTATCATTTGCAGACCAATTAACCTTTGACCTCCAGTGTCCTGCCTTCACAGGACACAAGCAAGGTCAAAGGTGATTTTGTTCAATGACCCTTCCGGGCAGTTGTTACTGCAGCCGCTGAGTCCCTCTGTGTGTCTATTTTTAGTGATTTCCTTTCTAACATCAAAGCTCGTGAAATTGTTGGAAAAAGAGGCAATAGTTATTCTTTGAGAATTATGGGATTCGGTGACAATAAATTTGAACACAATGTTTTAAGCCCTGGGGCTCAGAAATAGCATTTCTGAGAAACTTGCCCGCATGAATAACTCGAAAGACATCCTGGACCATTTCTTGTTTCATTAATGCTGGAGTTGAAAGCAGCATTTCTGTTTCCTAATCACCTCGGTTTTAATCTAAACCAAGAAGTACCCATGAAAGTCGGAGTTACACAGGGAGAAAGAGAGGCAGATATGTATATATATATGTATATGTGTATATATATATATATATATAGAGAGAGAGAGAGAGACAGAGAGATAGAGAGGGAGGGAGGTCTTCCATCCACTGGTTCACTCCCCAATTGGCTGCAACAGCCAAAGCTGTGCCAATATGAAGCCGGCAGCTAGGAGCTTCTTCCGGGTCTCCTACGCAGGTGCAGGGGCCCAAGGAGTTGGGCCATCTTCTTCTGCTTTCCCAGGCCATAGTAGAGAGCTGGATTGGAAGAGGAGCAGCCGGGTCTCAAACTGGTGCCCAGATGGGAGGCCAGCACTGCAGGTGGTAGCTTTACCCGCTACGCCATAGCAAAGGCTCCGAGACACAAATCTTAACTGCCATCTTGATCAGTGCTGGCATGGAAGGCCTTCTGCCCCCTTTGATTAGACACATGCTGTGGAATGACAAGAAATGCAGAATTAAACTGGCTGCCTTCATCCCATTTTCTGTACTTTTATGGTTTAGCTCACAAATGGCTCCTTGCCCAGGTCACTCCAAAGTCCCGAATATTCTAGATTTCCAGGGCCATCCTTTCCTTTCCTGTCCAAATCCAGTCATACTCCTGGAGCCGTGATTGTGGCACAGTGGGATGAGCACCCACTTGTGATGCCAACATCCCGTATCCAAGTACCAGTTCGGGCCTAGGTTGCTCCGTTTCCGATCCAGCTCTCTGCTGATGCACCTGGGAAAGCAGTGGAAGATGGTCCAAGGGCTTGGGCCCCCACCAACTAGATGGGAGACCCAGATGGAGTACCAGGCTCCTGGCTCAACCCTGGCCATTGTGACCATTGGGGAGTGAATGAGCAGATAGAATCTCTCTCCCTCCTCTCTGTCTCTCTCCATAACTCTGTTTTTCAAATAAGTAAATAAAATCTTTAAAAAAAATGTGGTCATGTTGCTACACCCAGCAAGGTGTGCTTTGGTCTGACTGCCTGGCCATCTTTTTCCTGGTACACCCAGTCCATTGCAGGATGCAGCTGTCCTCTGTCTGGTCCAGAGACACAGAGCTGGCCATGGTGGAGCCTCAGGTCTCAACTCACCTGCAGGAGAGTCTTTTTTTTTTTTTATTTTAATATTCATTTATCTTACTTGAAAGTAAGAGTTACACACACAGAGGAGAGGCAGAGAGAGGTCTTCCATCCACTGGTTCACTCCCCAGTTGGCTGAAACGGCCGGAGCTGTCCCGATCTGAAGCCAGGATCCAGGAGCTTCTTCCAGGTCTCCTACACAGGTGCAGGGGCTCAAGCACTTGGGCCATCTTCTACTGCTTTCCCAGGCCATAGCAGAGAGCAGGGTCGGAAGTGGAGCAGCTGGGTCTTGAACCGGCACCCATATGGGATGCCAGTACTGCAGGCGGCGGCTTTACCCGCTATGCCACAGCGCCCCCCCCTTTTAAGATTTATTTATTTATTTATTTGAGAGGTAGAGTTACAGACAGTGAGAGTGAGACAGAGAGAAAGGTCTTCTGTCCATTGGTTCACTCCTCAATGGCCACAATGGCTGGAGTTACGCCAATCTGAATGAAGCCAGGGGCCAGGTGCTTCTTCTGGGTCTCCCATGTAGGTACAGGGGCCCAATGGCTTGGGCCATCTTCTACTGCTTTCCCAGGCCATAGCAGAGAGCTGGATCAGAAGTGGAGCAGCCAGGTCTCAAACTGGCACCCATATGGGATGCCGGCGCTTCAGGCCAGGGCTTTAACCCATTGCACCACAGTGCTAGCCCCAAGCCTCTGTGGTCTTACAGAGATAGAGAGGCAGAAAACAGAAGGGGAAGGAGGTGCAGAGTAGGGGTCGGCTTTTCTCCAGCCCCATTCCTTTCCCAGAAGGCTTGGAGATTCAGAGGAGACTGACCGCTGCGGGGTGGGGTCGGGGGAGATGCAAGAGGAACATGGAGGGAGAGAGCGCGGTAGGAGGAGGAAACTGGTCTCTGCCGTCCGGGGCGGCCAGGAAATGCTTCCTAAGCAGGGCTGGGCTCGGATGAGGGGGATCCTGCGGAAAGCACAGATCCCCGAGTGGACACGCTCATCCTCCACAGAGCTGTGGTTGGAAGGTGGGAGTATCAGCCTGTGCAGGGGCCCACAGTGGGTGGGGCCGAGCAGGCAGAGGGCTGGTGGGGCGGGGCAGCGTCTGGGGAGCCGTGGGCTCAGGGATGGAGGCAGGTGCAGTATTTTTGGAGTGCTCAGGTTGGTTCCTGTGGGGGTGGCAGGTTCATCGGGGTCTCGTGGGTAGGAACACCTGCCCCAGACTTGGTTTCTCTTACTGTGCTGTCATGACATCAGGGGTGTGTGTGTGTGTGTGTGTGTGCACACGTGCATGCGTGCGCACACTTCAGTTAATTTGCTGCCACGGCCCAGAGAGCCTGCTTTGTTCTAAGGGCTCTAAGGAGCGATGCGATGCAGAGCCGGGGTGAGGGCACAGAGCTTCCACGTCCTCTCTGGACGGCCAGCTTCCAGGATCCCTGCAAACCCTAGTCCTTGCGGGTTTTCTGTGGAGACTTCACTGCACAGGCACGACTGCTAACACGAGGAATGGGGAGACCCAGCAGGGCCTCCTGTTCCAATTCTTTTTGGTCTCTGCAGCATTCACTCCTCCAGGGATGTGCGGCCGGTCCCTTTGGAAATGGGTGTTACTGTCAGAGCAGGAGTCTCAGGCCAGGCAGGTCCGACAAAGACGGAGACGCTGCCTGGGGGAAGAGACATCCTAGTGTCTGTGGCCTGCCTTGGGGAGTGAAGGGGAGGAGGAGAGGGAGGAAAGGGAGAGGGAGAGGGAGAGGGAGAGGGAGAGGGAGAGGGAGAGGGAGAGGGAGAGGGAGAGGGAGAGGGAGAGGGAGAGGGAGAGGGAGAGGGAGAGGGAGAGGGAGAGGGAGAGGGAGAGGGAGAGGGAGAGGGAGAGGGAGAGGGAGAGGGAGAGGGAGAGGGAGAGGGAGAGGGAGAAGGGTGTCTTTAGTTCATTCCCTAGATGGCCACATCATCCGGAGCTGAGCTGATCCGAAGCCAGGAGCTTCTTCTGGATCTCCCATGTGGGTGCAGGGGCTCAAGGACTCGGGCCATCTTCCACTGCTTTCCCAGGCCACAGCAGGGAGCTGGATCAGAAGTGGAGCAGCCGGGACTCGAACCAGCACCATATGAGATGCTGGCACCACAAGTGCACCTTTATCTGCTACACCACAGCCCTGATCCCTACACTAAAATTTAAACATCTTCTGTTCAGGCCACATCTCACCAACGAAGCCAGAATCTGTTTGGGTGGGGTGGAAACATTTGTAGCTTTGGGAAGAAAAAAAGTCTTCTGGGGGTTCCAATTTGCACTCGGAGTGTGACACCGTGCTTTTCAACGTGCGTGCAGGTGGATTGGGTCTGTGAGTGCAGATGCTGAGTCAGCAGGCCTGGGGTGGAGCCCGAGAGCCTGCATTTCCATCTTCCGGTGTTGCAGGCACGGGGAAGGACCCGGGTGACCTAGCGGTGGCCTCCTCACCCCTTCCTGTTCCCGCTGTGGCTCCTTCTCGGTCCCCGCAGGCCGGAGCTGGAAGCCTCTGTAACAGGAAGCAGCTCTCCTGGAGGCGCAGGGCTCAGCTGGAGACGGTTTACATCTTGGGACGATCCCCAGGCTGCAGATAAATGGACTCTGGTTCTAATGACACTGTTTAGAAACAGTTTAGCTGAATGAAAGGGAGCAGCCCGGCCCGGGGGAGCTGCTGCTGGGTGCGGGCGGGCTTCTGTTTAGTATAACCCGTGCTGGTGTGGCCTCCCGGAGACCTCTGAGAGGCGACAGTGCCCTGCCAGCAGACCCGAGCGGCAGAAGGAGAGCAGCGGGCTGGATGTAAACAGTGTCCGCCTTCAGCTTTTAATCTGTCAAGTGCTGGTGCTGGAGAAGCAGCCTCTCCCCAGCCTGGCCCCCGGGAGGGCCTGCGCTGTGTCAAGTTTGTCCTCCAGCACTTTCCCATGCACGGCGCTGCGGTGGGTGGGGCGGGGAGCAGAGTGGCACCCTGGGTCCAGGGCCCTGCGAGCCCCGAGCTGCTTGGCCAGCTCTGGGGTGCTGGCTGTGGATTCTCGTGGGAGTCTTCCTGGTGCCTGGCCTGTGGAATCTTCTAGTTCCCATGCCAAGTAAAAGTCAATCTTGGGGCTGGTGTTGGGGCATGGCAGGTGAAGCCGCCACCTACGATGCCAGAATCCCATATGGGTGCTGATTGGAGTCACGGGTGCTCCACTTTGGATCCAGTTTCCTGCTAATGTGCCTGGGAAAGTGGACGATGGCCCAAGTGCTGGGGACCTTGCCACCCACGTGGGGAACCTGGATGGAGCTCTGGGCTCCTGGCTTTGGCCTGATCCAGCCCTGGCCGTTGCAGCCATCTGGGATGGAAGATCTCCCTGTCTTCCTGTCTCTCCCTCTCTCTCCGTAACTCTGAAGAAATCTTCAAATTTGCTGCTTCTAGGGGAGGGGCTTAGCTGTGGGTGTGTTTTCAGTTTCTCCAGGTGAACCCAGTGTGTGTAACTTGGTGCAAAGCGTTCCAAATCCCAGGCACTTGGGCCATCCTCCACTGCCCTCCCAGGCACATCAGAAGGGGGCTGAATGGCAAGCGGAGAAGCTGGGGCTCAAACCAGTGCTCCGTCTGACTTGGGGTGCCAGCACGGCAAGCAGCGGCTTAACCCGTCGCTCCACAAGGCCGTCCCCTCATTCACACCCTCGAACATCCCTCAAGACGTCATTTAGAAATGGCTGCTCGGCGTTCCTGTATTTGGATGTAGTATATGTCTAATTAGTCTGCTCTATATCGCTGCTTATCTGTTTTGTCTCACTTTTGCAAGCGTTCGTGTTCTCTGCACTGATGAATACATCTTTGAGGATGTTTCTGATCATTTATTTAGTAAATGCATCTGTTTTTAAGATTTATTTATTTATTTCAGAGTCAGAGTTACACAGAGAGAAGAGAGGCAGAGAGAGGAGAGGTGGGGGGGTGAGAGAGAG